AAAAATAAAGATAGTTTTAATATCATATATTTAAATAATAACTTTGATATTTTCATTGTATCTATAAATATACTCTAAAGAAACCTAATTAAAAAATTCAAGATTGAAGATAAATTTTTTTTTTTTTTAAACAAATTTGCAAGAAACCACCGTTACAGTAAGGAGAATGCACTTTAAAGTTTAAATATTACTTGAAACTACTTAACCGAAGATCCAAGTACAGAGATAAATATACTTACTTCAATTAATATTTAAAAATTTAATAAAAAATTTAAAATAAATTTAATAACCTAATTTGAGATTTTACCTGATTTTCGCTCATGATTCACAATTGTTGCTGTGTCTTTCCTTTGATATTTTCCTCTGCCTCGGGATTCCTTTCACTTTTGTCAATACCGCGGGGGCTGAGAGTCTAGAGACTAGACCTCACCTCAACGTGAAATGTGTCCTAGAAATCTCTACACAGCAAAAAACATTGAGATAGGACAGCAATTGGCACTTATTGTAGGGCCGGTCAAACGTCAACACGGTTTTTTTTTTTTTTTTTTTTTTTTTTTAGGCAATGAAATATTAATAGTATACAAGAAAATAAATGTTTCGTAATGATAAAATTAATTATAATAATTTATTGTTTACATATAAATTTAATTTAAAATAAAAAAACAAAAATTTTTATAATTAATTTTATGGCACAAAACATTTATTTTCTTATAACTAAATTTCACTTGTACTGAAAATTTGACAAACACAGCCTTCATTCTTTTTTTACCAAAACTAAAACAGAATAAAAGTCTGTAATTTTTCAGTATTGGTTATCGAAATTTTGAGTTTTATACCTTTAGTTTCAGGATTCACCGATTAAATAATATTATGCTTTTGCAGAGACGGAGGGGAAATTAAACAAGATGCTGGACCAAAAACTGTAGCTAAAATTAATATTAGATAACTGAAGCTAAAATATCGTTAGTATTTTAGAATATTAGATACTTTAATAGATTTAACGATTGAAATTAATTTGAAGTCAATCTTGAAAATGTAGTGAATTTTAAAAATAAAATCTTTGAAATTAATAACTTCCTTGACCCATGAATGTACAAATAATTTCAATTGCACCGAACCCTTCGGCGAAGTGACAATAGTTACTTCAAGTGCACTTCCCCTACCCTTAGTCTGGGATTCGACCCAGACTTTTGTAAAAACTGTTTAAAAATAATAATAATAATAATTTCAATTAATTTTTAAAATAAAATTAATTAAAATAAAAATAATTTTATAATTACTAAGATTAATTTTTATTAA